TATATATATATATGTACGTATACATATGTATACACATATATATATATGTCACACATGTGTATGTGTATGTATATATAATATATATATATATATATATATATATATATATATATATATATATTTTATTATATACTAATTTATGTAGCAGTTGGTTCAACTAATAGAAGCCTTTGTATTTTCTTTAGTCATTATTTTTAAATTTTTCTTTAGCCTTCAGTGTTAAATTTCTGTTGCTTTTCCAGAGTATAGTGAACGCTTATGCTTCACTTAAGGAACCTTTTTTGTTTTTTTTTTTTTCTCATTTAGCGTAAACTATATTTAATTATGTATATGTATATATATACATATATATATTAATATATTATATATATGTATATATATATATATATATATATATATAAAGCACCAATACCTATATAAATTATATATGAAATTTATCGCCTGTTCTAGGTTCATTTCTAAGTTTGTTTTTCTTGATTTGTAATATCGTTTCTAATATTTTCTTAACTCGGTCCTACATTTAGTTTTCATTACGGTTACGCTTACAAATATATATATGGGGTTTTCAAATAATTCTAGTGAATTTTCATATACGCTTTGCAGTTCTAGTTTTGAAATTTTGGTTCTTTTATGGTTGTTGCTGTTGTATTGTTGTTGTTGTTGTTGTTGTTGTTTTTGTTTTTGTTGCTATTATTATTGTACATTAATATTTACTTATATTTGAGCCTTTACGGGATTTCAAAGCCTCTTTTAATTATTAGAAAAGGCTTTTATTAATATATATATATATATATATTTTTTTTTTTTTTTGTTTTTTTAAATATTGCTTTTCTTGTCCTCGTTTATAACATTATTTAACATTCTTATAAAATACTTAAACGCCTAATCATTTTATTGTTTTTATTGTTTCTCTTCATATATATAAATATATATATACATATATGTTGATATATATGTATTTATATATATTTAAAATATATATATCCGTCTATTTATGTGTGAGTGTTTAATTTTTTTGTATAATTATCATAATAATTTTAATAATAATAATAATAATAATAATAATAATAATACATATATATATATATATATATATATATATATATATATATATATACATATGCGTATGTAATTGAAATAATCTTAAATCATTTTCTTCATATATATGACACAATTTGTAGTGTTTTTGCAGTTCTAGTATGGCATACTGTAATATGATGTTGCGGATACTGTTGGTATGGTTGTTGTTGTTGCTGTTGTTATTGTATTAGTATAATTTAATTATAATCATGTAACATAATCTCGACTTGTTACGTATTCATCGCTGTAGCGGCCAGCTGCTAAAACGAAAAGAAAAGCGTTTCAAAATAGAAATCAAAAATTTTCTTCTCTTCTTCAAAACAATTCTTTTTGCCAGAGAATAAATATCAAAAGTTGATGAATAGTTTGCTACCTTCTTATATATAAAATCTTACTATCTCATTTCTCCAATCTCAACTAAAGTTCGAGCACATTTTCGCAAAGCGTACATGTTCGAGGAGCATTCGTTAAAATATGAATTTATTTTTACTCGCACAGAGATTACTTGGTAAGAGCGTTCATTCATTAGTCTACCTGTTCGTCGCAATAATATATACTCAGATTAAATATAAAGATACGTGAAGTTTCTTAATCGATGATATTTCTTCTAGACATGATTCTTAGGTATAAAATTTGAAAGAGCCGAAAGTACACTTCTTTAGGATACCTACAAAGAAAACGTGTTCTCTATTCGAACATTAGTAACGATTTTTGAAACTGTACAAATAATCGAATGAATCGAAATGATTTTGAGTTAATGGATTGAACTAGATCAACAATTATCGTACGTAAGTCTAATTGCGATAAAAAGGGTAATGCGTTAACATAGTATAACAACTACAGGAAAAATGCGCTGATACATCGACAATCGAATTGCTGGTAAAAACAAGTAAATCTATTATAGTCGAAAAAAGCCGATCGTTAAATTTCTTACAGTACCTCGCCTAGTGCAAATCTTTATTTCTCTTCGTGATAAAATAGCACAAATTATACGGTGTTTCCATGTAAAGCCATACCCTCCTCTGATCCAAAACGTAAAGTAACGCAATTAAAATTTAGCAAAATTAGTTTTTTTCTCAGGAATCTTGTTACCTTTCAACTATTATCCTCACAAACTATTTAGACCTTGGCTTGTTTGCTATATAAAGACTTACTTTTAATGAGAAGCCTTATATAAGGATGGGGTCTAAAAGTTCAAATGTCTATGTCGTTCAAATTTGGTACAGTTAAGTGTTATATTAAATTGTTATTGAGAATCAAATTCCATCAAAAAAAATCCATTCAAAATTTCAATTCAAGATTAGACCTTTTCCACACATAAAAGCTTACTTTTCGTAAAAGGGATTATATAGGAGGAGATTCCGAAAAATTTATCCGATGGGGTCCGATGTAACCATTTCTCATTAGTTTTGAAAGCCGATATAATGATTTTTGTGCGAAAATTTTGAAGATAAAAATTTATTTTGTTTTTATGTCACTTTTCCAATATAAACCGTCTCGAACAAGTTTCAAATTTCGTCAAAGTATCTTAAAAACGATGACTTGGAGATTAAACGCGGACATACACAGGCAGACAGACAGAAAGAAAGGCAAGGTTAAATCGATTCATAAGACGATTCTGTGGGTTTATCTGACGGCTTTCTAGGCGTAACACGTGCATCCGCCCAAATTTAGTATAACTTGATATGTTATGTTATTCATTAGTCATACTTCATGGGATTTTCCGCTAACAAGGATATATCCTTACTATTGCGATTAACATGAAAAATGAAAGTTTTCCAGTAAAATTGTTCATAAAATTTTAAATTGATGGCAAACAAGGTTACATACATAATGAAAATATCGAAACATGACAGTTTGCCGAATAAACTTGATAGATGACAATTGGATGATCGATATGTTAAAAGAACTTGAACGAGAAGAACTTGATCAAGAAAATCAACCTCATTATCTATCTATTTTAATGAAGACTTGCGGTTCGACTTGTTACTTGGATGTTGCAAAACAAAAGTTCATAGTAATTGCTATGGAGTTGAAGAATTGTGCATGGAGAAGAAAATTTTGAAAGTAGAAAATAAAAATCATTTTTAGTTCATGTCCTGAAGTTGATGGCAAAACGTAAATTCTTAATATTTCATCTGTCATCTGTCGCTGATTGATTCAAAGAATTAATTTAAAGAATTTTAAATTGGACATCGAAAGCATCGGTAGTAATATCAATCTTTAAAATGATACAATTTTTTTCTGATAAGGAAATCGGAAAGAGGATTGAAAATATTTTTCGGGCTTGTGTTTCTACTTACAATCTTCCATTAAGATAACAGGGGTTGCCTCTGGATTTGTGCTTGACAATGTGTGGGACATCATATTGAAATCATCTTCCATCGATAGAAACGGGGGATTCCAACGAGTACGTGGTGTTGTGCGATGCGTTACAGCAGGTGAAACACCCGCTGCTGAAGCCGACGAATATAAGCTAAGATTAGTTGGACTAATAACACCAGACATGGTGGAAATGGAGCTGGTATAACCCAAAAGCTGCATCCAAAAATTATATAACGTGAGCTCATATCCCAAAAAGTAATTTTAAACTTTTTCTTTAACTTACCGGCGTTGTTTGCGTATGGAAATGATTAAAGTATGAATCTCGACTGTTTGTGTTGCTATACGGTTGTGCTGATATGCGTGTTAAAGCCGAAACTGAAGATACCGCTGAAGCGGCCGATGATGTTGGTGATGTTTTACAGCGTGCCACATCAATTATATGAGACTGCGGACTTTGCGTGGGTGCCGGCGGTGGCGATGTTGAAGCTGAGGCTACTGCCAAATCGCTGGAATTATTCGAGCTGCATACGGTTACAGTGCTGTTGGAAGAATCTTGACTGGCCGCTGAGGTGTTGGTTGATTTTGAAGTCATAACGCTTAATGTACCGCTCGTGTTAGAACTATGATCAATCGTGGTGTGTTGCTGGTGCTGCTGATGATGGTGATGATGTTGATGATGTTGATGAAGACTGTGATGCGATTGATGATGGCGTGGGGAATCTCCGGAGCTCGCAAGAGGGGGTGGTGACATGGCTGTGGACGTTGGTGGCGAACCGACCATGGTAAGATCTCCTGTAGAACGTATTATTGCCACAGGACGCGCCATTGGGGGTAATGGTGGCGGAGGCAACATGGTGCTGTATTGTTGATAGTGAGCAGCAGCCGCTGCTGCGGAAACCGCTGACAATTTTGGACTGCGTCCAACCGCTGCGGCGGCAGCTGCGTGCTGCAATTGAAAATGGGAGGACGTTTGAGGATGGCCATGTTCGTCGGCAGAACCACCACCTGGGGGAACGTTTGTATCTTGACAAACATAAGCCACAAAGTCGGTCATATCGTGGCCGTGGTTAATAATTTCGGCCGAATACTTAGGTGTCGTGTTTGCCTGTGTATGATGCAAATGTTGTTGATGATGTTGATGATGTTGCTGTTGTTGTGTTTGTTGCTGCTGTTGATGCGTCTGCTGTTGTTGCTGTTGCTGCTGGTGTTGTGATTGATTGGGATCGTCATTAGACTCGGGAGCTACAGCCGAAGGACTGGCATGCTGAGGGTAATACAAAGCCGGACTGACAGCATTTGGAACCAGTGATGAGGCAACATTATGCTGCATAAGCACTGCATTGGAAACGGTAGACTTTAAAGTAGCTGGTGCATATTAGCAGGAGTAAAAAAGTAACTCACCTTCCCCTGGACGCATTTGTCCCATACTCAGCAAAACTCGATTACTGGTGGGTGTGTACCTTTGCAAGGCTTCATCGGATAGATTGGCGCCTCCGTTACCACCACTATTGGAGGCATTGTCTTCATTTTGTCTTAATATCACAGAAAAACTGCTGCTGTGATCCTGAGGAGAACTATTGGGATCAGATTTGCAAGAGGCTGCAGCTGCTGCCCTTAATAGTGAACTGTTAGATATATGCATACTACTCCTGGGATCAACAAAGTCAACTGGAAAAACAGAGCAAAGGGCATATACAAGCAAATTCTTTTTTCTTTTGAAATTTTCAACTTACTGCTGTAACCCGATGGTAGTACCATGGAAGCGCTCACAGTAGAACGGCCATCTCCCGTTACCATTCCTGAGCCACCGGACGTTGCTAAGCTATTGACACTACCCACCACTGAACCCAAAGGAGCGGAGGCAGCGGACATTTGATATGTATTGCATTCGTACGCAGCCGTCGGATGCTCCAATTTAATTGAACTTGCTTGTATCAAATCGCCAGTTGTCTCCTCAAGAATGGACGCTAAAACAAAAGTGTTAAAAATAATTTTTATATCGTTTAAGACAATGCCACAAACTTCTCTACCTTTTGAAAGCTTCCACAGTTCTTTGGAAGAGAAGACTCCAGTGGCCAAAATTATATCGTTACACACAACACCATTATAGGGATTGTGACTGTAGCCTGCAAACGGTGTATTGTCTACACAACAAAACGAACAACAACAATTTCGATTATTGTTCTGCCCACGCTAAACACAATCAATCAAATTATACATACCTTTATTTTTGCGGTCGTCTTCTCCATGTTTTTTATTGTCATTTGTTGCGCTGCTATTGTTGTTATTATTGTTACTGCCATGTTCACTGCCATACAACATTAACGAGGGAGTTGACGGAGTACCGGGCGCTGGAGAAGCCGGCGTCGGACTGCTCAGCGGATCATGAGTATTGATGAAATTAGCCAAATACAAATCCAATTCACGCACCGACACATTAATATGATACGGATTTACACATAAAGCTGGATGGATGCACTCAGGACTCTTTTCTAGTCTCTCGCCATCGGTACTTTCCAATGGTATCGCTTTGAATAATATAACCATGACCAGATCTAAACGCCACACCTTGTCCGCTTGACGCAGACAATCGATGCGGCGCATTTTGCCCTTTTGGTCGGGATTCGATAGCACACATATCGATTTGCGTTTACCGGTAATGGATTGTACGAAGTCCTCGCGACATTCTTGCGTTATGTCCTTACGCAACTTTCCCAGCAAACGAGAAGCCCATTTTTGCTTGACCTCTGCTTTTTCGTTCTACAGAAAACAAATACGAATATCAACAACGTTGATATTGATTGATTCATTTAATTTTCGATAAGACTTTCTTTTGCAGATTAAAGGGATTAATGGTGTTATTATTAAATAGTAGGATAACTAAAAATAGCATGTACTAAGAGGAGATTGACTTGATGAGTCAATTCGTAGAGACGTATGGAAATAAAATATAATCACCTGTAATTCGTCTTTACAGTGACGTTCCTCCTCCAGCGACATACGTTTCTCATGTTTTTTGTAATATTTACGTTTTGCGGCTTGTAAATTAAACCAGGAATACGAAAATGATTTGACATATGGTAAGAGAGCTTCAATGAATGGATGAAACTCATCCTGGTTTAAGTGAAAAGGAGGAGAATAGAAATATAAAAAAAAAAGTTAAATAATATCATTCTTTCGAATAAATGCAAACACAAACATTGAGTTATTTAAACATTTACACATAGAGAGAAATTTAAATAAAGTAAAATTTTTTCTACAATTTTTTTTTTTTTTTTTTTTTTTTTTTTTTTTAGTTTTGTTATACAATTATTATTACATACATATATATAAATATAGACAGACATTTATGAAATTTTTTAAAATAGAAAAAGAAATTTTTTATATAAATAACACACATACATAACCACTGATAAAAAGATTTGAAAAAAAAAAGAAGATTATTATACGGCGCGTAAACATTCATTAGGAGAAAAAGACGATTTTTTTAAAAGAGTGACAGAACGAATAAGTTTCCCTCTTTGCAAAAGCAGAAAATTTTCAAAATCATATAGAAACATAAGATAACGTTCTCCAAAAAAATTAAATTACATTTATCGTTAAAAAAAAAAATTAAAAAAAAAAAAAAACAATTTTTTTTTATATTCCATTTCGCTTCAATTGTAATTTTTCTTTGAAATAGTTTCCCCAGCCGTTTATTTAGTACATTGACCTAAACTAACTATTTTTCTTTTCTATTGTTGTTGCATTTATATAGTGTGTGTATATATACAACACTATCACTACCACTACTACTATTGCTACTACTACTACTACTACCACTACTGCTGCTGCTAGTACTATTACGACTAGTACTATACTATTCACCGTATGTTTGTTACAGTGTTCGTATTTAAATCCTATGGTCACGTATTAATTCCTTTGCACGTGTCATGATTACCAATAGTGCGCTAAGCAATACTAATGGTAATAATAGCTTTAGTACCTTAAATAGTAGTAACAGCGGGGCATAGAAATAATAAAGTTTTTTGTTCGGTAGGTCAGTTAGTTGGTTATGCATGTAAGCAGCTATCATGGAATATGAAAAAAAAAAAAAAAATTATAAAAAATAAAAATAAAGAAAATAGCGATAATTTTATTTTGATTTCCCTCAAACTAGGTGAGCATTCTGAGAATACTAAAAACCGGTTGTGATATGATATGCTATGCTTAACACAATTCTATCTGCTATACATGAAGCGACATGATATTTTAGCAAAGACATATACCAAGAAAGAATAAAAAACTGCTTGTAAATTCAATTTTAATGAGAGAAATTTAAAAGAAGAAGAAAGTGGTGAATCTTTGCGTGAAAGCAAATTATTCAAATTAAGTTTGAACTTTTCAAACTTGTAATGTGTTCCTTATTTCATTCTAAAGTTTTGGCCAGTTGAAGGACTCTGCAGTCTTTTGCGTTTAGCTTGAGTTCTCTTCTCTGATTTTATTCCATTACAAACCCTACTTAACTAACGGCTTGCTATCCAACTTAAATTTTCATTTCTAATCAATGCATCTTCCCATTAGCATCTTACAGTCTCTCCCCCCTTAACTCTTACCATAAAGAAGACCAATTGCAAGCGTATGACATGATCTTCGTTCAACTTTACCTAAAATTATTTAGCCAAGACGGTGAATACATACCGCGTAATTGGAAATGTTCATTGAAATACCATTGAATAAGAAAACTGTTCTCGTTGTTTTTTTTTGGTTTTTGCATATTGTCCCAATTTTCTCAATTATAGACGCGTCTGCGAACTTATCACAATCTTGGAGGTTGTGAAACTTGACATGTGAACATTATTATCTGTCATATATCAGGTTCCTGTCTACATCTGTGTACTCGATCTTAACAAGAAGTGCTTTAGGGGTCAGGTCCTTTGGGTGTGAGATAAAATCTTTCAACACACACATATGCACAATCGGTATTTCTTTAAATATATGCACTCGTCGTCAGTGCGAGCTTACGAGCATATTTAGCTATACCTGCCCTCTTTTGCCTGACTCCGTCTCATCTTCTTATCAATTAAAAATTAATATGCTTTGCATAATACTGAGGGTGCAAATGATCGCGCGCGAAGTCGAACTGTCGCCTACACTCTAGTAATTTATCACTAATCTGAGGCAATACTAGATGTCAGAGTATTCGATAGAGGAAAGCTCAAGTCTACTATAGTTCAAAATACTAACTTCTCATATTTATATATATATATATATATATATATATATATATAAATATTTATTGAGGTCGTTAAAATTTAAGAATTTTGAAATTAATTAAAACAATTTTTTGAAACAATCAAATAAATTGAAAAAACAAAAAGAAAAGGAAAAAAAATTGATTTAAAATAAAAATAAATTAAATGAATTGTTGTTCATTTTAGTTAAAAAAATTTTTATACAATTAATTTCTTTTTTTTTTTTTTGAATTTTTTGCTTTGAATTTTTTCTTTAAAAGATTATTCATAACTTGAATACTTATTTATTTTCATAGGGGACACATTTATTACGTGCATAAAATACATCAATAATATTAATTTAAGAAAACATTGCACTAAAGTTCAAGCTCTGCGTTATTAATGAATATTTTGTTAGCAGCGTTCCGATAATTTCAAAATAGGTCTTCAAAGCGAGTTTGACTCCTGTTAATCCTATATTTTAATAATTTCATTTAGCACCAATTTCAATAATATATGTAAATGATTTATATGAATGCAATTACACAACAGCTTCGCGAACGAGATCTGTCGAAAGGAAAAAAGAAAAGAAGAAATGCTAAGAAATTTCCCGTACCCCGAATAAGTTGCATTCGTTTTTACACTCTACATCTCATGTGGTAGAGGGTATACGTACGTACATAGGTAACACGCAAAAGGGCCATAATTGTGAGCGATGCAGGATCATCTTCTGAATCGACCTAAGCCAGTCTGTCCATGTGTCTGTCTGATATCTGTTCATGTAAATTTGTGTTCAAACTACTCGTCACAATTTCTGACATATTTTGAAGGTACACTTACAACTTTTGACACAAGGACCGCTGCCCATATAAAACCATATTTTGAAAAGTCGTTGTACGGACAAGAATTGAAAAATTTCAAAACTTATAGGCAAATCCCATTTCGTAGTAATATCATTAAAAATTTGGATTGGCTGGAGCAATTTTTGAACCCCTATCAGATAATCCTTCCTACGAGAAGGAAATTTTTTATACGCTAAGAAGTTCTAAATTTTAATATTTCGTAGCGAAAATTGATTTATAATATAATAACCAGAAATTAGTTTTACCGAATTCGGATCAAGTAAGTGCATTTTTTTGGCCACCGGCGCATATAAGGTTTCTTAGGAAACGTAAAGCCATTTATGCCAAAAAGCCTAATTGTTAATGTTTTACGATGAAAACTTCACATAAAAATTATGTGGACCAAATTTGAATGACATGGGACTATTTTTTAGACCACACCTTATATAAAATTTCTCATAAGTAGCACTTGCTTGCTTGACTTTTCTTCTTTATTTTTGCTACGGATAGATTTTAATGGAAAATCGCTCTCGAATACACTTACAATGACAATGTCTTACGAATATCACGATCTTATCAGATAACGTTTAAACAGAGCCAAGAAACCGCGACGAAAATGTATTCTTTTCTTTTTCTAATTTTCTTTCAATTTCTGATCGGAATCGATTAAATCCTTGAAAAAAAAAAAAATTTTTAAAACGCACTACACCTATTACGCACATACGGTTATCAAATATAAATTATATACATTTTTGTTAAATTATTTCAAAGTAAGATTCTTTACCGAGCTTGATCGAAAATGCTTTCATAATAATAGAACATATACATGTAACACTTAGGATAAAAAACATGATACTAAAACATCAAGTTATGTAGACAAAAAGATTTTCACATATATCGGAAAAAAAAAAATTAAATGAATTTGAGCCAATATTATAAAAGAATTGCTATTGATTAACCCTTAGACAAAGATAACAATGCAAACGGGGGACTTTAAAGGACGGCAGCGACGCAAAAGAATGCATTCTACGAAAAAGCAATCTTTTGCATTCATTGCTTGAGCATGAAGAGGTATGTTAAATGATTGTTGATTGATGTGAGAATTTTAATAAAAAATATTTGTTTATATATGCGTTTATGTTTATGTTTATGTTATGTATATATACATATATATATATATATATATATATATATATATAGACACTTAAAGAACTTCGTATAAACTGAAGAAAAAAAAGAAAAGAGTTGCAGAGAGAATTGAAAGATAAACAGATTTTAGGGGGAAATGATCGATTGTTATTTAGTTACAGTTAGTGTCTGGCCAATCTACAGGTGGTGTGCACTTGGATAAGGTTTTTTTTTTTTGTAAAGTTTCAGAAAATGTACTCGTATCGAGAGCTCACTGAGAGGCCTTTCGTATCTGAATGTATGTGTATGTGTGTGCGTGCGTGCGTGTGTTTGTGTGTTTATATCTATATATATTTGTATATATGTACGTACGTACGTACGTACGTACGTGTGTGTGTGTGTGTGTGTGTGTGTGTGTGTGGATCTGTGCGTATGTGTGTATGTAGGTGTGAGTGGGTGTGGGTGTGCATGGTTTTAGATGAACATGAATGAAAATGAGTGAATGCGTGAAAGAAACGAAAAAATCAACATATTAACCATAACATAACGCATAACGTACAAAACTAAAGATATAAGAAAAAAAAAAAAATGAAATAAAACTAACAAAAATGGGGGTCACACAAACAACGTACATACATACATACACACATATACACACATAATAATAATAGAAGTGGGAAAAAAAACATGGACACATAGTACAAAACACAAAAAAAAAATTTATTTATTTTTTTTTAACTTTTTTTTTTTTTTTTTTTTTATTTAGACATCGAAAAAGAACAACAGAAAAACGTATTAGTTGATTAACGTTTCTTTTTTTTTTTTTCTTAATTTATTAGTAATTACTTAGAGGGAGATATAGAGACATAGAGAGACAGAGAGAGAGGAACAGATTGAGACGGTCAGTGTGTATGAGGAAGTGAACACGAAATTCTCTCATGAAGTTGTCTAAAGCAATGAATCGCTTTAGCTGTCTCTGTGCTTTTGCTTTCTTTACTGTACGAAAAACGTCCTGGTCCTGCTTATCATTTATCGTAAGTAATGAGACGAGTAAAAAAACAACAACAAAAACATAAAAAAAGAGAGAGAGAGAGAGAGAGAGAGAGAGAGAGAAAGAGCGCAACAAAGTGTTGGGGTTAATCAATTTGTTTGATTAGTTGGAATTTTTTTTATATTACTTTTCTTTTCCATTTTTCTTTTTTTTTTTTTCTTTTTTTTTTTTAATTTTCTGTTCTTTTCTTTTTGTTTGTTTTTATCAGTTTCTTTAAAACTTCTCTTCTTTGATGCTGTTAGTTATCATTAGTTAGTTTCAGTTTTTCTTTTTTTTTTTGTTTTCTCTTTTTCTTTTTTTTGTTATTTTTGTTTTTTTTCTTTAGTTTCTTTAATTCTTTGATTGCTTTATTTTAAAACAATATGTGGATACCACGTGTAAGTTCAGCACCTGTCCTGAGGATGAGGTTTGCAGATAAGAATTTACGTCCGTCTCGATCATACAGCTTCTCAGTGAATCAGGTATAAACATGCCTTGAATGCAAGGCTTTCTTAGTGCTATCCTCACGATCGATTTGTTTGATTGATTTTCCTCTCAGTTAATGGCAGATTTTTGGTTTCTTTATTATCTTTTTTTTTTCTTTTTTGCTTTTTTCTTTTAAGAGATTTTGTGCGTTTTCGAAGGAAAATTGTTTTCGCCTTAGAACTACGAAGTGTTGAAGAAAATCAGCTGAAAACCAAAAAAAATTAATTATTAATGAAAATTTATAACAAAGAAAAAAAAGGAAAAATCGTATTTTTAACATATGAGATGATTCTGATCGGACGGACATAAATGATTTGTGTAAAAAGTTTCCGGAATTGCTAAAACGCTAATTAAAATTTCTACTCGTCCGCTTCAAAGTATGTCTTAACCCTTGCCACCACAACTAAGCGATCTATTCAACATTTTCATAGATTGATTGCAACATGAATCTCTCAATTATAATCTCAATGAATTTTTGCCAACTCTTCAATTAACTTCAAATCTTAAATTTCGAAACGGTAACAAATATGACCATGTAAGCATGTGGAATGAGTAGGGAACTTCAAATGCCTGCAAATTGTGAACTTTCCGAAATTAATTACATAACCGAATAGGCATAGGATAGCGACTAGCAACTCAATCGCCGCACGTTCAAATCTCCAGTGCAGTAGAATTTTCGGTACCGGCGAGCATGCGATCTAAGTTAGCTTTATTCCATAAATAATAAATAAAAATACATAATTGCATAGCGACAAGAGCGGTATCCATATTTTTGGTGGGAATCCACAAGAAATATCCTAAATTTCATACGACAAAGTTTTCCCTGAATACTTTATACCCGTAATATGACATAAATGAATTATGTGCAGGCTTTCTACAACGTTTTCAGCGCTTCGTTAACCAGAAAGCGATTTCAAAGGCAACAACTGAAGCAAATTCCGCCTTGAGTCAAATTATCAGAAAAAAAAAATAAATAAATAGATTGGAAAATATCTAGAAATGCGACCAATTTGAAGCAATGGCGTTACTCAATGTTATCAGAAACCTTTTTCCGGTTGATTTTGAGCGTTGTAAATATGATATGACGATAAACTCAAATCAACGTGTTAGGATTCGTGCGTTGTCACCATTGCAGGTCCAAGGGAAACGCTAAAGCGTAGTTTTAAACATCTGACTTTGGATATGTATATGATCAACAAAGGTACTCTTAAAGTTGAAAAGTAGTTTGACTCAAGGAAGGAATTAGCTACTGTTCGTACGGTATGCAGTCATATTGAATATTTAATCAAACGCGTGCCGCGTACGCCCATTTCCCCATAAACTGTGGCACCTCTGAAACTAATTCCATTATTGAAATTCGTAACGTTTTTGGGTGAAAAATACATTCGTCGCGTTCAAATGGTTCCTGATGTAACTCTACGGCTTAAATAGATGAACTTATCGTTGAGGGTAATGAAAATTGAAGCTGTCTTCAGGTCAGCAGCTTTAATTCAACAATCCACAACAGTTAAAGGCAAAGAGATTCAAAAGTTCTTGGATGATTTATACTTTTCCAAGAAAACTACTGTAGTAAAAGAAGAAATGTAAAGTGTTCTTCTTCATTAATTACTAGGTGACATTTGATGAATTTGATATAGCTCCGCATTGCTGACACGTTATAATCAAAAATATTCTCACGTCTTAACATTTATGGTACTGTATGGAGTGAAGCTAGCTTTCGATGATTGTTGCAAGTTTTCCTTTTAAAATTTCTTCCTGATTCCTGGTCACGAAAATGGTTGGCAATTTTTCGGAGGAGTAAAACTAGAAAAATCCATATCACCCCCCATCTCACATATATATACCAAAGTCGCTACATTTATTACTGGAGCAATAAGCGCACTATGCGATAAAGGGAGATGACACGTGGCATCTGCGTTCTTGCAATTCCAAATCCATACAATACAGTGATCCTAAATGTGAGACAATTAATTATCACGCGTTTCTAAACTAAGGTAAAAGAACGAAAGGATTTAGGTACCTTACGGCCCAGATATATGTTAAATGCTTCCCAAAGTGCAAACAATTTTTTTACTTATGTTGAGTGTATGAGTATAAATCTACTAGAGGGGCATTTTTTTTATTGTGGTATTGAGTCACTGCGTGAGTTCATACCAATGATCCTACCATACTTGAAATTCTCATATAGCACGAAACTGCTTTAGTAATAAAACTGATAATTGCCCTGCATTAGTATCAGTCAATTGAATCAACCGGCAGACTTCGAATTCCAAGGGACAAATTTTCTATATTTCCGTAAAACTGCAAGGGAAATCCGTTCGTGCTTGATTAAATATCAAATCACCATTTGGTAAGGTCGAACGCATTGAACGTGTTTTGGACTCTTTGCAAAAATTTAATAAGGATATCAAGCAAGAAATCCAAAGAAGTGACCCTACGACGCTGATTGCTTAACGCAAATTTGTTCACAATTGAAAACTATAATTCCTATATTTTTTCGACACATTTTTTATACCAAAAATATTATAAGAAAATGCGGAGATCATTAAATCCGCAAAGCCTTTCGATTTCATAAAAGCTTTTATCCGAATACTTTCAACTTTTAGATAATGAGTCTCTTCGGTGGCAAATCGCAGCAATTTAACACAATGCGTGTGGCTTGCGAATCGAAACTTTTTCATCTTATCTTTTATTCATATAATGGGAGATCAAAGGTATCTACTATTACAACTATTGCATACAGAATTCTGGGAATTTTGCATCTCAGCTGAACTCCTGATCTGAATTAAATAATAAGCTGAGTAAATATGTCAAATAAAAATACACATTGGCGAGCGAAAAAAATCCAATGAATATAGTTTTCTGTGCTTGATTGAATGCGATAATCTTGTGCAATTTGCGACTCAAATGAAAATTACGAGTACGGCAAAGCAAACGGGAAAAATTTGAACTACGAACGTCGTTTGTGCTTTCACGCAGGGTCCTTGCCTATTAAATCAAAAAATTTCTTCAAAAACGGGAGAGAGAGAGACTTGCGCTGATACTCAACTCTTCGTTACGCAAAGTAATGCAATGTAACGAAAACGTGAACTGAATACCGTATACGTTAATCATACGTAAACTCTGAATTTATCGCTGACTGTGCCTGATGGAGAATCCTAGAGCATCTATTTCTGCACTTTCGGCTAAGCTCAGCATATATATATATATATATATATATATATATAAACTAAAATACTTCACTAAGTTCAGAAAGGAGAGCCGCAACTTGCTAACTGATGAGCAAAAGAGCAAGAGCAAGCCAATGATGCTCAATCCATTTTTGACAAATGTCAGCAGAAATTGCGTCTATTGCAGTTTTCTGATCAGATGTCATAGCAAATTGAACGTCAAACCCTAAAAGCTTACGGCAATTGCGTTCTGAAATAAAAATTGTGCCATGCACATTGATTATCTGAAGCCGCATTATCCCACTATTTGAAAGCACAATATAAGCTATGTTGCTATTGTTAGTGCCAAGATTTCGATTAGAAAGCATCGTCAGAGTAAATATGCATTGCTTGACTTTAAGTAGTTGAGGATTGAAATGTTGAAAAATATTTTGCTCCAAAATATTCAGATTGGTTCTCTTGGAAGGATGTTGACATGTCGAGGACATGCACAACTGTATTCAAATTATTGTAAAAGAAAAGAAAGTCATTTGAAAAGCATCGAGAAAATAAAATCCATTCACTTTTCACACAGGCACTCCGTCGTTCAGTATCTATAAAACTAACAAAAATATTGATCGTTAACTACAATCTGAAAATTTGCGTAGACTTCTTAAGCAAGCAATAGGTTCTCTGAGAAGGTTATCTCTCGTATTTTACTAGCTGTAGTTAATTTTATTTTGCGACTCCGATAGAGTCCGTTTTAATTACAGAGTGCATTTAAGATGCATGATGGCATTTGCGATAAATTCCCCAAAAGAAGCAACATATCCTTTGCGTAGAGGAGCTGATAGGGTACATCGGAAATTGAAATGGTAAATGTTCAGAGTTGGTTATGGAAATGGTTAGCGAAATATCATTCGGTAAATTTCAGTTTCAAATAAAATTTTTACATCCGCGTTGCAATGACATTTTGTGATTCATTTGAAAATATAACCCCCAGCTAACCCTTCTTTTAATTGCAAAGAAATCCAACAACCAGCATTCGGCTGCTGACGAGACACCAAGCGTCTTCAAATTCTACTTCCCCGCCTGTCTATTAGTAACCACAATGCATTAAGTGAAAACAAGTAATACAAGGTGGAAGGAAGCAAGATTTCTTTGCGGAAATTTTATTCCCAAGTCAAGTTAATCAGGCGTAAACTCAACTTCGTTTAAGCAAGTGTTCGCGAAAGCTTGATTAGTCGAGTTAGGCGTAGACGCATCTTTAAGCATTCGATCTTTAAACATTAGGAGATAGAAATCCAATAAGCAAGACATTGATGAGAGTAGCGTTTTTGACTGAGCAAAGGGTGCCATCACATCGATTTGTTGTCCCAAGTTCTCGTCGTTGTGATGTACTGCAAGCAACTCCACAGGCCAAAGAGAGAGAGAGAGAGAGAGAGAGAGAGAGAGAGAAGTCCGAAAGGAAAACTGATTAAAAGGGTCTTGTGTGGCCATAAGAAATTCTTTACCTTCGATAAGATATGCTGAGGCATTTAATTTCAAGGATCGTTTACAAAATTGAAAGTAAACTCACCGGTTCCCTCTTCGTTTGCACTTTACGAACACGAAACTTGCCATGATTTACGTGTAGTTACGTGAAATGCCCCAGCGTCTGGGCCATATGCTAAAAATAACTAACCGAATAAAGGGTATGGCTGAGGCTGTTGACGACTAGAATTTCAAATTTATTTTCGATATTGAATATTGTTTTTTTTGTTTTCTTATGCATTATTATTATTATTATTATTATTATTATGATTTACCTTAAAACAACCAGATGTAATAACAATGATTGAACTAAAAATCTTAGTAAGCTTAATGCGTTGTTTGCATGTCTGTCTGCCAGTTTATATGGTATCACTGTGTACTCTCTGTGATGTCGGCTTTTTGTTGCAAATTATTTTGCTTGTATTGCGCGTAATCCACATTATGTGCTGAATGTTTTTTAATATATATAACAACAACAATAATGTAACAACACTTTATTTATCATCATCATCATCAACATCATCTCATTATTATCTTGTGCATCACCATCATCGTAATTATTATTTTCAACATTGTTGCTGTATATATATATATATATATATATATATCTATAGAAATATATAAATATATATATATATGCGTATATATATATATATATATATATTTTGGATATTACTGTTGGCTTTCTTTTTTTGTTTTTTTTGTTTTTCTTGTTGTTTTTATTGTTATTGTTTACCGTGCTGTATATAAAATATTGATGTTTTTCTCCTTCTCCCGTTTAGCATAAATATGGAAAAAATGTGGTTTTTAGGAACTTAATGTATATGAAACATATTGTTATTGCTGCTGTTCTTGTTCTTGCTCTTGTTTTTCTTTTTTATTATTTTTATATATTATTATTATTATTATTATTATTGTCCGTCTTTTGGTTTAATTTATATATATATGTATATATAGATATATATGTGTATATATATATATATATATATATATGCATATATATATATATATATCTATAAATATATATATATGTATTTATATGTATACATATATATTATTAATATAAAAGAAACAAATAATTGATATTATTCGAAATTTTTTAGGCTTTCAATAAAGTCTTCGTAATATAATGAAATTCTATTAAATCAAACATTCCGTAGAGAAACTGTAAAGAAAAGAAAGCGAAAAAGAAAACCTCATAAACAACAATGAAGTTTTATTAAATCAAATTTTCAGATTTGCTTGTCTTCCTTCATTTTTCCTTGTACTTTTTCGTTTTTCTTTTTTTTTTTCTTTTTTTTTTCGTTTTTTACTATTCATTCTATTTTGCTCTTGTTAAACGAGTTTATGTTCATCATACGCTGTGTAGTCTATTAAGTATTTTATTTTTCAATTCCTTTTTTTTTTGATAGTAACTCTCTTCGTTACTCATTTTATTGTCTAACGGATGCATGTTCTGACTAAGTAACGGTTTTGTTGTTATTATTGTTGTTATTACTTAGTTGTAATAAAGTTTAAAGCTTTTTCTTCTCATTTTGTGATGCTTTCGTAGTTTTTTTTTTTTTTTCTTTTTTGCTATTCTTACATATATATATAGAGACACACACACGCACAAGCATATATCTGCACAAAAATGGAAATCAGTTACAACAATTTTGCAAGTAAGAAAAGTACATATACTGTTATGTAGATGTTATTGTGAAATATCTTATATTTATTTAAGTTATTGTATCCATCGTTGACATATAAAAATGTACATAGAATATTATCATTGCACGTTTGACGACCAAAAACGTTTGAAACTTTCAATTCATTCACCTATCCCTGTATATTCGGCCTTTCGTTTATCTTTATTCATTTATTGCACCTCCCAACTCAAATTCTGATTAGCCAATATTGAAGTTACGCCCCATTCTGTAATTGCCAAATTGTCGTTGATCGATCGCAGTAAAAAATTTCACAGTAGAAATTTCGACAAGAATATTATCTTTGATCCATCATGTTGTTAACGGCATTCTCTACGTAAAAGAACCATAAGATCAGAGACATTTCCTCGTTTTCGAAACCTCGCTGTGGTCCATACTGTAACTGGAGCAAAAATTTAAATCTTAGAAAAGGAAAAAACCAAAAAAAAAAAAAATCGCTTAATCTACTTATCTATCCCTGTTACAATATCTATTATCTGAGAGATTTTTTAAAAAAATATTGATTTTGTGCGAGACGTAACTTTAAAGGGAAGTCTGAAATTTTCGATCAAAAAGAAAAAAATGGGTTAGTCTTCTCTTAAAGTTAAGTCAACGAAAATTTCATACATATCGCAATCGATGATGCCCTTCTAACGATATCGTAATAAACATGGATTGCATCGCGTAAGCATCGCGTTCAAAGCCTTGGAAAGTGTTGTAGACAATATTTGAGTATTTAGTGCATTATCAGCGCTATGATGCTAATCTTCCATACTGCAAATTTGAACAATGTTATCGTAGTCGAGGTTTTTATCATTGTTTGCAGAATAGACGGAAATGAAAATCTCAAAACCATCTTGTCGGCTAAGTCTTCGCATTTGGTATGAGATAAGGATTAATTATGTATTAACGAATTACTTCCAAGGCACTCAAGACTAATAGTCATATATTTGCTCGATCTTTTAATGCCCTGTGGGTCCATTCAGCTTAAATCCGTTTTAAACTCCAGCTTATTTTGCTAAATTTCTCATAAAACTTTTTTGATGACCAATTTATATATATATATATATATATATATATATATGTATAGATTTAAGGGAAAGGATTAAAAGTTAGCTTAAGGTTAGAATTTTTCAATGTCATTAAAAGTAATCTTTGATTATGCGTTAGAGCAAAGATCCTTTAACGCTATACATTTGCATTGCAGACATAAACAAAATAAGTTAAAACGGTTTAGGTGAGCAAAGCCATTTTCTAAATACCCTACATCCCCTCACTTCACAACGATCAACGTCAAGATGAGACATTAAATGAGGACTAGTGGTAAAAATGGCTTCGTTCTTGAAAGAAAAGATGCATGGATGGATCGATGTAAGAAGAAGAAGAGGAAGAATACAAAGATGATTTTGATAAATGTAGACCTGCAAGTTGAACACAAAAAAAAAAAAAAAAGGAACAGACCGACAAATTGGCTTAAAAATTGGGTCTAATTTAACTCGTACGCAAAGTTAATGCGTCTTCTGCCACAAAGTGTATAGCGAACGTGATAGCACCTCACAGGTACTTGTCTTTTATAACAGTATTTGTTTATTAACGCTTCCACCAATTCAACTGCGAACAACCGAGAGGTCAGTTGAAGGCTTTAGACTAAATTATGATGCCACCGTTCCGATAATGGGATGCGGACAAATTGATTAAATTTCGTCTTATATAAGAAAATAGTTTGATGACAAGCGTAGTTCGAGTTCATAAAATTTTATTTCACAAAAGAATCCACAAAGGTAGGTTAATCAATTCCGCTCCTTATCCTAATCAATAGTGTATATGTCTACCTAACGGGAAGTCTCTATTGGATAAGTTGCGAGTAAAGAGACTAACATTAGATTTTTTAGCGCGGACTACCGCTTAAATTATGATAATTTTAATGCATTTTCTATTTACTTTGATTAGGCTGATCAAGAGTTCGAGTTGCGGTTCTAGTTTCTCTGGAGGATGATTTTTGTTTTGTTTATCGTTTGAATTTTTGTACAATCAAAGAAACCAAATAAAATTTTAAAAAACTTTGATTGAAAGAAATTCACAAAATCTCCGATTTTTATTTGCATTTATTTATCCATCTAAGTGCGTGTAAGATATAATGTCAGCTAGAATAATAGCTTAAGTCCTGTACGAGGAAACTTCCATAGATATCTTGTTACTGTAATGTTTCAAGCGGAAAAAGCATCAAAAAGGTCATCTTAGCAGCCATTGCTATGAAACTAACTTACTGTTTAGCGCCCAAGATTTAAAGTTAATTCCGATTCTTTTTCTTCTTCTAAGTTTATGTGAATAAAATTTAATGCTGAGAATTCGTGCTTTTTATATCTAGACAATTGACTCTAAAATAAAAGATCCGAACTCGATTTCTGAATAGAGTCTATTTAATTTCATAGAACCGAACCTGTGGTCCGGGGATTTAGTCATCCCGCTGTAAGCCCAAAAAATCGAGTGCTTTTCCCTACGAACTAACAACAAAATGGTGTATGTTATTGATCTTAGATCCCCTTTTAAGCTACTAATGAGATCTTCGGCTAATAGCATTTACATAACGTTTCTAATCATTATACCCAGCGCTTTAGTATAGCAAAACAAATAGCTAAAATACACAGAGATATTTACATATGTATTTCGTTAAGTGCGAACGTAAAAGTTAAACAATTGAGGGATAGAATGGCTTTTTCACTTGCTTTTCAAAATATTTGTACCGGTATGTAAATTAAACCTGAAAGTCGCAATTTTTTACACAGGGTTTTAAAACAACTGAAAATTTTACACCGATTCTATATGTAGCGTATCGGATCTTTTAACCGCATCCTTTCGTTGAAAGTTGTTTAATCATTATATAGATAAATTTTTCCTACTGAGACTGCTAGAGACGAACCGAGAACATTCTTTGTTTTTGACCGGACTAATCGAAATAATTCTCATGACGTTTTAGAATTTTAAGAACACTTCAATTAATTATAGACGACAAAATTGCTCTCACAATATATCTAAGACATATAATGTCATTGTTAAGGCTTGGTAATTCCCTAGAGAGGCCTCCTAAATTTATTATAAAATTTTTGCGACCATAAGACACACCTTTTTACATAAAAAACTCGACTTAAAGCTAGGATGCATCTTATGGTCTAAAGACAATATTAAATACAAGTCCTTGCACTAATTTTCACTACCGGAAGACTGTATTAGTTAAAGAAAACAAAAGAAAAATAATTACTATAAGAGATTGCGTTAGCCGTCGTACCCGCAGATCTTCGCAACAATTTCTAAATGTTTTACAAATTTTACAGATGCGAACGGGAATAAGAAAATCAATAACACTTTTTTAAAATTTAGAGTTTAACGAAAAATTTTCAAGATATTCTGAATATGAGCATAAAGTTAGCTAAGAAGTAATGAGTAACTAACATCCTATAAATAAAACGGAGAATAAGGCATTTTTTTGCTAGAGAAAATCAACAATTGCTTATTCTTAGTCAATAGGAAACGTGACAATAATGGCTAATAGGCACCTATGCCGGGAGTTAAGACGAAAGAAGAGCTAAGCATTAGATTTTAGGAATCAAAACTTTCCAGACCGTTGGGTAAAGTGCTCAAACAATTCAAAATGCTCTCTCTCTCTCTCTCTCTGTGTGTGTGTGTCTCTCCCTCTCTCTCTCTCTCTCTCTCTCTTCTAAATTACTGCGCCAATCGATTTTGTGTGGCCTTCTCTCGCGAGGAGTCTTGTCACCATGCCCTAAGAGCCGGTTAATCCACACACTTGTCCAACAGCTTGCCCGCTTTTAACTGAAACTCTCAAGGGGAAAAAAATCCGATGAGAAATTCAACGCAGACATCTTCTGTTTCAATATATCGAACGGATGAGTTAAAATGATCACACGATTGAATCATGGAAAACCGCTTACGATGCCCGTAAATTTGAAATTTTTTGTTTTTCTCAATAATCGGGCATATTTCGCGCTTCGCAACTTCCCCCGATATCGTTAATAGCTGCATTTCCCTTTGCATGCGACGTAGCAATAATTTCTTATTTACTTTTACTTCAAAAGTATTGTAAGAAGAAATTCATTTAAAGCATTTATGTAAAAATATATTGCGTATATTCTTATGTTTCTGGCGGAATACGAAGTCAGTATTGAAAGGATGACTAAGGCGTTTGGCGCCATTTATTAAGAGGAGG